TAGAGGACCCGGGAGCCGGTGTGCCCCGATCGCAGGGACAGCCCAAGGGGCAGGCAGGAGGAACGGACCCACCTCCTCAGCTCTGCGACGAGCAGCACAGTGCAAGGAACCCCCAGCGTCATCAGAGAGATGTTGTTGATGGCGGGCTTCACAAAGGCCAGGCACGTTGTAACCGCAGACAGCACGCACACCACCGCCTTGAACCTGCCCCTGGGTGGGTGACAGTGAACCAAGTCCGTTAGCTAAGGGGTCTTGTTCGGCGAGTGTGGGCAAGGCGCAGGCACTGCCGGCGGGGGTGGGAGCTGAAAGGCACCGAGCAGCCAGAGTCTAAAAACTGCTCACACTCACTGGCGCAGTAATTCCACTTCGAGGAATTTATCCTTAGGAAATGATCAGAAATTTTCTAAATATTTAGCCATGAGAACGATAAAATTAGAATCGACTACAGTCCCTAGAGGTGAGGTATGGATACTTGTTTTCTTCAAGTTAGTTTTCGGTATTCTTTCCACATGTTTTACAGCAGGATTTGGCAAATGCTTTCTGTAAAGGGTCAGATAGTGACTATTTTAGGTTTGCGGGTCACGGGTTCCTGCCACAGTTACTTCACTCTGCCACTGCAGACAATAAGTGAGTGAATGGGCATGGCTGTGCACCAACAGAACTCAACTGGCAAGGACAGACAGTGGACCAATTTGGTCCACAGAACATAGCTTATCAACCACTTTTCTACAAGCTCCCTGATTTAAAAGAAAAAAATGTCACCCTGGCCAGTGTGGCTAAGTTGGTTGGGTGCTCTCTCGTGCACTGAAAGGTTGCCGGTTCGATTCCCGGTCAGGGCACATGCCAGGGTGGCGGGCTCGATCCCCAACAGAGGCGTGCAGGAGGCAGCCGATTGAGGCAGGTTTCTCACATCGATGTTTCTCTCTCTCTAAAAAGAAATATATATGCAAAAAAATAAAGAAAAAACCTGTTTCTAGCACAAAAAAGTAAGTTTTAAAACATTCTAATAGTTTCTATATATACTGACAATCCACAGTCTAGTTAGTATGCATTGGAATTTTGTGTTGACAAGTTTTTGACATGACAGATCTTAGAAAAATAACTGATACCATCCTTCCACTCCTGAGTGGAGGTGCCTTCAGTAGAAAGAGCCAGAAATGACGACGTGACCCTGAACACGCTCCTGCCTCTTTCCCCAGCACTCCATTTCCTTATCTATAAAATGAAAAGTCTGAACTGGGCTGTCTCCAAGGCCTCATCTATGCCTGAAATTTAAGAGCTCGTGATTTTCCTGAAGTTTCAGTTCTGAGCACAATTTACTTTGGCCAAGAGCCCTGGAACAGGTCACAGTTAGGAAGCTAATTTGAATTAAATTCTATCATAAAAAATCAAAGTGCACTGAAACCTTAAAAATACAAATTTATCTCTTAGAGGAAAACTGTTTATCATCAAGGCACAGGAAATCATTGATCAAGCTGCCAACTTTCTGAGTGGAATGAACAGGAATTGTAGCCCTGAACTTCGACCAGAGGAAAAAATATATACGGGAAAGGATCCAGGCAGCAAATCCCCAGAGAATCTTGTTTTTCTCCTGGCCTTGACTGGCATCCTTCAGCTACCGGGTAAAAGGCTGCCTGCACTGCCACCCCCAACATGCACATAACCCTTGGGGACCCACAATAACTCTCTCACTGGGTTTGAGGCTCTGTGACACATGCCAAGGCCCAAAGCCTTTTTAGACCGGATCAACACATAATTAAAACTTCCAAATTGTATCACATTCTTGTATCCAATGGTTTAGGATTCAGACACAGCTTAGAGAGAGGCACAGTGATTCAAAATACAGATGCTCCGGGCCGACCCAAGTGTGTTCACATTCTGCCTCCCTCACTCAGTAGCTGTGGGATCTTTAGCAAGTCACTGGACTCTCCCCAAGCTTCAGGTTGCCCACATGGAAGCTAAGACACCTGCCTGATGGTGTTCTTGTAAGCATTAGAGCACTTCACACAGTGCCTGGTACATGGTGTGTGCAAATAAAACCCACTATTACTAGTATCATTACCACTNTCACTGGACTCTCCCCAAGCTTCAGGTTGCCCACATGGAAGCTAAGACATCTGCCTGATGGTGTTCTTGTAAGCATTAGAGCACTTCACACAGTGCCTGGTACATGGTGTGTGCAAATAAAACCCACTATTACTAGTATCACTACCATTGTTTGAGAATAAATGCTATTTAAAATGTTATTATTGTTAATAACAGCACACTCTCAGGGAAAATCTGGCTGAGCTGGTGTTGCAATCACCAAAGACTCTATAGAGTATTGCCCAAGTTCAAAGGCAGCAAGCTTGACCAAACATGCTTTTTTTAAGGGGAACATGAACAGACACCTCCCATGTCAGCCAGTGGGTGTGGAGAAATGTGTTTTGGAAAGGCAGCTTAGCCAACAAGGGCCTCCTGTGAAAGCATGATTTTGCAACCAGCAGAAGCCATCAGAAATCACATGGCCAGCCCAGCTGACCCCAGAGTCACTGCAGGCCCTGAGTATGAGAGAAGTAGAAATATCCAGGAGCAGGGGCCCCCATAGGCTGTTTTCTAAACAGTGATGACTACTGCAGGCTCTGGTACTATTGGCAACTTTCCAGCCCATTATGGGTTCAAACTGGAACATAAGGTCAGGAAACTCTCGGCATCCCTTCTTCCTGTGCTCCCCAAATCAAAATCTAGCAACCCAATACCATGATCATCACGGTATTATAACAAAGCTGTTGCTATTATCATTACTACATTTAAAGCAGTGGTTTTCACTCTGTCAGACCCTCTGCCCATTTTTAAAATCAAGTATTTGTGATGTCTCTTTTACTCCTCTGAAGTAAAATGCAGTTTATGGATGAGAAAACCTCCCATCATTGTGACCACTATACAGTTCCCAGATGTCCCTTAAGAGGCAGAAATGTCCCTGATTAAGATCCACTGCTTTAAACTACCCTATAGGGTTAAAACATAGCCTATTTAGTTAGGACAAGCCCCTGATAGTCAAGGGACTGCAGCACTTGGTCCTGGAAGGGCTACCCCTGACATTTTATAAGTGAGGAGCTGATAAGGCCCAGAGAGTCCATGACGGTGACCCCAAGTCATAAGTCAGCATGAGAGCAGGACAAGCAGACCCTGGCCTGCACCCTTGCTATTCCGGAGCCAAAGAATGAACTGAATTATAAAGTGAGGTCTCGCCCTAGATTTTGTAGGAGCAACATCTTAAAATCACAGCTAGATAAATTATTTTAGAAATGGATACAATTAGCCTATAGTACTTCTTTGTTCTTGTTTTTTTCTCAAAATAAAAAGGTCTAAAAATTATTAATATCCATCAATAGCAGAGTGTATGTCCTGACAATTCTTAGAACATTCTAGGCAAGATGAAAGAAAGCCTTTCTTTTTTTAAATCCACCAATTATTCCTCTTTACATAATAAACCTTTTTGCTTGCTGTTCTAGACACTTATCTTCAAAACACTTATCCATATTAGCCATTCATAACAACTGCTAGCCCTGAGTGAATCCTTAATACACTTTACAAGATTTTATCATATATTTCTAACCTCATGAGGTGGATACTTTTATTATCTCCACTTTACAGATGAGCAAAATGAGGTATCAGAGCTTTAAAAAAAGAAAAGGAGAGTAGATTGTGATTCAAATCCATATCTGTCTAATCCAAAGTCACTTAGCCTCCAAACTTTCTCTTCTCCAGGAATCTCACACCTGAGCTACTCTTAATATGTTCTTAGAAATATTCCAGCAAAGTCTAGATCACAAGCAAACAAACAAAAAGGAGAAATAAGTAAATTTTAATTATCTAGTAAACTCAGGCAGCTAAACCACACAATCCCTAGTCTACAGAAATCTGGGTTTTGACTTGAAATCTTTGTCTGGCCTGTCATTGCCCCTGCAGAGCAGCCACCTGTCACGGGCGGTGAAGCCACACAGAAGGGCTTGCTCTCCTTGCTTTCCCCATCACTGGAAAGCTGAAGACAGACAAACTGAACCGACATCCTTATTTAGAGTGAGCTACTTTTCCTGCAACATGCACCTTTCCTTTCTTTGCGCATTAAAATCGTCAACGACCATTCTCTCCTGTTTGTATGCACATCTCAGAAATGCCAGGCAGAAATCTCTGCATGCCATGGGTAGTCACGAGAGCCAACTCTGATTGAGACTCACCTAGTTCTTAGTGCCGTAGGAAGTGCTCTGCAGAGTCATCTTGCAAAAACCCTATGACTTACCTAATGTTACAGATGAGGAAGTGGAGAGTTAAAGAGTCAAGACCAGTTATAGAGTTTACAAACAGGGAAGCTCGGATTCAAACCCAGGTATTCTCCAAGGCCAGGGACATACACATAGATGGTGGTCAGTGCCTCCAAAGGACTCTGCTCAAACTCTGCAGAGGAATGGTGCAGGTGATGGAAAGGTCCCAAGGGGTCATAGACCTCCCTGCCTCACACTGGGTTTTCATTATTAAAGTTGGTAAGCTTGAATTACTACAGCCGTTGCCCTAATTTCTTGTCTCTCTCCTGCTCATAACAACATTCCCTCGCTCCCACCTTCGAGAAAGGGGAAAAGAAAACAGTTCTCTCTTATGAACACATTAAAAAACGTCACTTGGAATTTCAACCCAGGCCTCCAGAAGTGCCACAAACAAATAAACAAAATTCCTGTTTCTTCAACGTCTTGCTCAGATCCCAGAACTTGAAAGATGAGATCCAAGAGCAAAGTAGAACCGCAGCTCTCAACCTACCACACGCCAGGCCCAGGGAAAGGATGGGGGGACTGGTGGGCACCCAAGGAAACAGCATAAAAAGCCAAGAGGAAATGGAGTGTTTATCAGGCAGAGTCAGAAAGCGGGCCTGTTAACTCACCTCAGGACCCTGCCTAGTGCCGCCTCCACCCCTCTCCGCGGCCTCTCCCCACCTCACGGCTTTCTGATCACCCTCAGTCATTCATTCTCTTGAAGCCCAGCAAGGAAGCAAGACAAGACTAGAAACCGGAGACAGCAGAAACCAGCCTGCCAATATGTAAAGTATATTTCCTCCACTGGGGAGGCCTCGGCCAGACGGAGGCCGCATTTCATCCACGACAGGAGCACCTCCTTTCCACTTCTACTTGTCCACAGCTGTTTCTTTCTTTCACTCTGTCTCTCTGCCTCCCTTGCTCCTTCCCTCCCTCTCTCCTTTCCTCTCTCTCACTTTTTTTTAAATATATCTTTATTGATTTCAGAGAGAGGAAGGGAGAGGGAGAGAGAGAGAAACATCAGTGATGAGAGAGTCATTGATCAGCTGCCTCCTGCACGCCCCTGACTGGGGATCGAGCCCAAAACGCCAGCATGTGCCCTGAATGGGAATCGAACCCCGATCTCCTGGTTCATAGGTCAAGGCTCAACCGCTGAGCCACGCCCGGCCGGGTATCCTCTCTCTCATTTTTTGATAAGTAATCTTCTTGAGGATACTTCCTTCTGCTCCATGACACTCAGATAACACCATTTAATTCAAATCCTGCCACCCAGGATGAAGATTCTATAGCTAATCCGTTTAAAGTATGTTTTCTCCCTGCCTCATTTAAAAATACATGTTCATATTAAAAATTAATATGTGCTGTTTGTAAAAAAAAAAAAAAAAAGGAAAACAGTACAGATTAAAGGTAAAAATGAAAGTTCTCTCTCCACCCCAATTCCTAAGAATGGTAGTGGTTGCTGTCATTCTCCTGGGCATTTTTGTGCACATACAAAGACATATACTCAAAAAGAGGTTATTTCATTCATTCTAAAACTACAAGAATATTACACACACAGTTCTACCATGAGCTTTTGCAGCCAGCGTATTTCATGGACACGCCTCCATCTCAGTCCATAGACGACAACAGACTTCGTCTTTAACAGCTGCATAGCTCCTGTCCCTATACCAGCTTGCTTAACTGAATTCGAATCTTCAGACTATTCATCCATATATACCTTGACAAATCACAGCGTCCTATCGAGAAACATGTGGTTAATATGTTCTGGGAACATTTCCTATCTTTATAAGGCTGACTCTCTTCTGTTCCTTCAGATATTAACACCCTTACACAGCCGCTCAGGAAGGCATTCCCTACCCAAACTCTAAACCAGCACCCCAAGTTACTACGACCCAACCAGTAATCAGCTTCATTTTCATCATAGAGCTTGTCTCTCCCTAATGGTATTTATGTGTGTGTTTGTTGTTTCACAATCTCCCCAACCTCAATGTAAGCTCATCCATGGCAGAGGTTCTGTTGTTTAATTTACTGCTATATCCCGGTACCTAAAAGCCTAGAAAAATGCATTAGTAAATAAAAGTATTTGAAAAGTATTTACTGGATGAATAATCAATCATATAAGCATAACACAATGGCTATTAAAATGCATCCCTTCCTGAAATTCTGGGTTTCCAGTTTGGAGATGTGTGTGTGTGTACCTCTCATCAGAAGCAAAAACACTGCAATCTGACAACTACAGTATTTATGGCTCCAAGAACCATTCCTTAGTGGATCCTACTTTTATTTATAAAATAGTGGGGATTGAACTAAAGGAAATATTCTAGCAGGAAATCAAAGGTCTTTGAACTATTCAGAAATTTCTCCCACTGAAAATCTTTCCACTTTTTCTCACATATAATAAGGGAGACATCTGGCTTTTTGTCCCTAATGTGACATAAATTCTTCTCCAAGCATATTAGAATTCCCCCTTTCATCTGTCAGTTTATTAACACTGCCAGACTCTAAACAATCAGTGGATATTAAACAGGTGTGTGATAAGCTCATCACTAAGCTGGGCTTCATCGTGTACTTCTCTTGATATATACATTATATTGGGTATTGCGCCAAGCAGTCAAGACAACAATGTTTAGCACACGCTTACCTGTCGTTCCGAAAGATCTTCGGCAGATACCTTCTAGGGAACCACATAGCCAGAGCACACATCAGAACCCAAAGGATTGCAAGTTCATCAAGCATCTGACCCAGGAAACTCAGAGTTGCATGGAAGTAGACGGATCCAATTCCTAGAGTCAATTACAACCAATAACAAAGGTCACCAAAGAAGAAGAGACTCCCAAATTCAATACACCGCTTAAGGATCGCCCTTGCACCAACCACAGTCACAATCAGCGGGTCACTCTCTCTCTTTGAAAAGAGAAACTGAAAGAAGAAACTCACACCACCTAGGCACGCAGCCTTCAAGTCTAGAAAGAGGATTTCGAGCAGGGCCTGCCTATCAGCACATCGGAACTTCAATGATTCCACCGTCGGGCACATTCTGTTTTCACCCACTAGCCTTCAGGGACAGGCAGTAAAGAGAAGTCAACGTGCCCTCACCCCTCACTGGCAGGCGTCCCCAATCTGCCTGTGGGAGGAAGTGGAAACTACCCAAGTATTTCCCAGAACAATGAAGGGTCAGACAGCTAGGATGTTGCTGTTGTTTTCACCTGTAGTCCATTAGAAACCAGTGTCATCAGAGTTCAATTGTTTTGCAAGGCTTTTTCAGAAGTTCTCAGAAACTGCACTGGCACGCCACCAATAGCAATTGCATTAGTGAACCCTCAATACAGCGAAGTGACAATGACGGCCAACCTTGTTATCAAACCCATATTCAAGAGAGTCCTTTTGGCATCAAGCGAGCAAAATAAAAGTTCGCTAAGACGTCAGAGTGGCTTTGGTTTATAAAACATCATGTTCGAAGGAGACAGGAAGTGCTGGAATTCCATCTCCTCCCTTTCCGGCCACGCTCCCAAGCGGACCCACTTACCCACGACGACTAAAAGGGTCCAGATTAAGTAGATGCCGCTGTTGAAGCACGTTGCGTACTGACGGAACAAGCACATGCAGATGGGCGGCAAAATGAAAAACAAGACGTTGCTGATCTGGGGGGAAATGTAAAAAGGAGAGAGAAATATCAAGGAAAGGGGTAAAAAACAAAGCAGCTTGTTTCGAGTTATGTCCTTTGCAAACTGAGCTGAATGTGGCCATGCACCTTGTTTAAGCACCTATGCTTTCCTTACTGCAGATGCACACCCCGGGAAACGTAAAACTTCTTTAATAAGCACGCAGGGGGCTCCTTCCTTTCTCTCTGGGCAAAGAAGCTGCAATAAAAACACTGCATGCAGTCTGTGAAAGCTGCTCAGGCTCCCCCTGCGCTCAGGGAACCAGTGACTCGTTCTGTTTCCACACAGATGAACCAAGAAGCATTCTCATTTACTCGCACGTACATTTTGAAAGATAAGATCTGTACTCAATAGCAGTAAAAATAAAGTTTAATAGAGGTGAGAAGGACTGGACAGGTTCGAGCCCCCAGTAATTTTCCGCCAGCAAGGCCAGCTTTCCTTCCGGGCCCACGTGAAGGCAGGATTCTTCCCAGTTCCCCTTGTCATCCTTTGTCGCGCTCTCACCCTACACAAAACCCACTCTGAGGTGAAGATCAAATTTGTGGGTTCTGTCGCAGCTTTAAAATGATACCATTTTATCTTTCAGACTTTCGTGTGGATTTAAGCCTCTCTAGTATCTCTCCAGAAGGCACTTGGCTTTTTTAAAAAACATATTCTATCTAATGTAATATCAAAATACTGTCATTTCCACATGTAGCCACTACTTAAGTATCATTAATAAGATATTTTCCATTCTCCTTGTTCACACTAAGGCTTTGAAGCCTGGGGTGAATCCCAGACTGACAGCACATCTCCTTTAGAACCAGCCTTATTTCACGTGCTCAGTAGCCGCACGTGGCTACCATACTGGACAGAGTAACTCCACACCCTCACCTCTCACTTTTTAAAATTTATTTTTATAAACTAAAAAATAAATTTTATTTTTAAAATTTATTTTTTCTTTTCCCCAAAAGAAAACCCTAACCCATTAGGCAATTGCTTCCTATCTCCCCACATACACACAAGCCCCTGACAAGCACTAATCTGCTTTCTGTCTCCATGAATTTCCCTACTCTTGATATTTCATAAAAGTGGCCAAGGTCAGAGAGGCAGCCACCCTCGGAGCTGGGCCAGCGCTCTTCCCACTGCCGCCCACTGGCTTTCACCTCCAGCTCACCCAGCCACCTTCTGCCCTCCTTGGCTTAACTCCCCAACGAGTATCAGAAACTCTGAATTGCATCACACACTGTGCACATCCGACCTGCCCCATGACATAAAGGTGGCTCTCCTTCTGTTACACAGAGTAGAAGAAAGGAAAGAAGGTAAAGGGTTCTGGAGGAGGGAGAAATAAATTGTTATGCCACAGCTAACTTAACACCTAATCTTTCTTTCACCTAGATGAATGTGTTCTCCTTATTAGAAGAAAAAAAAAAGAACACATTACAAAGCTAAAACCTCCCTTCTTCTGCCCTAGAGACAACCATTGTTCCAGATTCACAGTCTTTGACTCATTTTCTTGGCAGTGATAAGAATACATCATATCATATATTGTAACATTATCATCCCACAACTTTCTTTTTTTATATTTTTTTAAAATATGTTTTTATTGCCTTTTTAGAAAGAGAAGAAGGGAGAGGGAGAGAGTGAAACATCGATGTGACAAACATCGATTGGCTGCCTCCCGCACGCCCCCTACTGGGGATCGAGCCTGCAACCCCGGGCATGTGCCCTGACCAGGAATCGAACCAGTGACCTCTCGGTTCATGGACCGATGCTCAACCAACTGAGCCACACTAGCCAGGGCTGCAACTTTCTTTTCTCATTCAACAACACCTTTTCTCATTCAACAATATGCCTTCCAAGCCTTTTCATCTTAGTTCATATGAATTTATCTCACTTGCTAGAAGTGCTGCAGATGGCAGGAGTTTTTTTTAGTCGTTCTCCAGTGGAAGGACAACATTTACAGCCCCACCTACAATGTTGGAAAATATAACATTTGTTTTTTACCTCAGTATATCTTTATTGCCTCAAGCCCTCTCAATTTGCCTTGCTTCAGCCAAGTGTAGCTAACTGCTGTCAAGCTGCCCCCAATAGCTCTGTCAATTTATATTACCACTAGCAAGGTACACACGAATCACTTTAAATGTACTTACACACTATTCATGAAAGCATGAAGTCGTTTATTATACCTGCAGTAAAATTATGATACTTCAAAACATTTTTTCTTAATGTACATATTAGGGTGTTCAATTTAGAAACACCATTTTAACAGATGCTCCCAAATAACATGAAATCACATGACTACTTCTGCACAGCCCGTCTATTGACATCTGCTGGCCTCCACCAGGCCCTTCAAACAAGTCAGTCTATGAAAAGGAAAAGATGAAATTAGAGGGAGACGCTGCGCAAGACAAAAAGAGGAAGGAACTCCCAAAGAAATACGGAAAAGCAAACAAGCAGTAGTTAAAAGATGGATTCAATGGCTCCATATCTACTGAGAAATGAAACTTCCCCTCAAAATCGTGTGGGTCACTAAAGTTGAAGAACAGTTCAGCCAAAGGGTATTTTTTAAAGCCTATTGTTGGATTATCCTTTGGAGAACTGGATTATCTAATGCCTGCAGAACAGATTCTTTTAATTAAAAGGAAACCACAATTTTAAAATGTATTATTTCCTTAGAAAGTCTTTCATTCTATGAATTCCCACGTAACATTTGCACCAAAGCAATCTCATGCACACACTGCTATCTCATCCTGATGCATGTGAGTGGGCACTTTCCCAGCAGAGGGTAAATACTGACAAAGCAATAGACTGTAAGTTTTTCTCAATAACAAGTTCATAAACAGATATGGGTCATTACCCTGGCTAAGAAAATTGTCTGTGTATCTTCACTCTATGCACATTCCTAACTATCTATCCCATGGCTCCCCTCCTGCCTCTGAGGTACCAAGTGTCCTGGTTTGCCTGGGACTAAGGAGGGTTGCCAGGACATGAACCTTCACTTTTAAAATCAAGGAAGTCCAATTTTGTCCTTGGCAAACCAGGACAAGTTGGTCACTCTACACAGAAATCTCCTTGCAAAATCCCCCCACTCTACCTCCCACAGTGTACCAACTCCATGCAGTTCTAATAACACCCGGGTGACTTTCACACACCTTTATTATGGCCCTCATCACCCAGATGACTATGGGTCTGGTCTTTGTGACAGGCACATAGAAGTTGCCCAGTAAATGGATGGATGGATGGATGGATGGATGGATGGATGGATGGATAAGTATACTCTATAGATAACGGGATGTGGGCTTTGGCTTATAAAGAGAACTCTACATTCCTTATCCTGATGATTGGGGACAGAGCTGACTGGGGGAGGTGACAGATCATGAGCTGATTTTATGCGTATGTTTTGCTTCAAGGCTTCAGCACCAGTTGATTTCCTTCCTGAGTCACTGCCCAGCAACACAGTTCCCAAAGGCTAAGCCCAGTGGTTAAAAGGAAGGCCCCCCACTTTTCTCCAAAGCAGCTGGGTCTGGAGTCAGCTAGGCCTCTTTAGCGTGACTGGGGCCTAAAAACTTAAAACATAAAAAGAAACTCAATTCAATAAAACTTGTATACAGAAGAAGTAATACAAAATATGCTCAAGCAAAAGGCTGTGTTTTTGGAAGAGATACTTGGGTTTGGCAGAAGCAAAGGATGATAAGATTTGGGGCAAGATGGGAAAGGGGTGGGGGGAGGTGAAAAAGGTGAAGGGATTAAGAAGTACAGTTGGCTGTTTCAGAATAGTCATGGGGATGTAAAGTACAGCGTAGGGAATAGAGTCAATAATATTCTAATAACATTCTAATATTCAGTAAGACTCTAATAATATTCTAATGTATGGTCTCCGATGGGTGTGAGATTTACAGGAATGATCACTTAGTAAGTTACACATGTCTAATATAATAATATATGTCGACTGTAATTGAAAATAAAAAAGATTTGGGGCAATCTAGATTTGCGGGACCCAAAACCAAAATGCTTTGTACACCTGAACAATGTCGGGGGGGCATAAATCAGGGTACTCCGCCCAGAGGCCATTTAGAATACCTATCAGCCGTTAAAGTAAAGATTCCCCTTGACACAGCAACTCCCCACCGAGCGTTAGCACTTGCAAAAGTACATCCAGATGCATATATGAGGATATTCATTGTATCACTCTTCAGAAACCAAGATGAAAACAATAAAATAATCAGAAACTGCCCTAAATGTCCATCAATAAGGAATTGACTGGTTAAATAAATTAGAGCCAATCCATTAAATGGAATACTGTATAGACACTGTACAGAGGAAGATAACTCTATAAGAGCAAATATGGGACTATCTCCAAGACATATTAAGTGAAAAAACCAAGGTGCAGAAGAGTTTCTGTAGTAGTCCCTCAATTGGGTTGGAAAAAAAAAACTTAGATTGGGTTGTGTTTACAATATACATACATATTTTATATGCTCACACAAATAATACAAGTGCTTTTCATATACCTAGAAAATGTCTGAGCCCTGGCTGGTGTGGCTCAATTGGTTGAGCATCTCCCATGCACCGAAAGGTCCCTGGTTTGATTCCCTATCAGGGCACATGCCCAGGTTGTGGGCTCAATCCCTGGTCCAGGTGCATGGGGGAGCAGCTAATCGATGTTTCTCTCTCTTTCTCTCTCCATCTCCCTTCCTCTCTCTCTAAATAACCAATAAAAAATATTTTTTAAAAAGAAAATGTCTGAAAAGATACAAAATAAAGGGTATTTTTCACTTTATAACATGACTACTCAGACTTTTTTTATCATAACCATGTATTACTGTTATAATAAACAATAACAAAAACAATAAACTACTTTAAACAAACTTTTCTTTTCATATCAAACAGCCTATAGATCAAATAGTTCATATCAAACAGCCTATAGATCAAATAGTTCCAAGGCAGGAGTTTAAGTTAAAGAAAACTGAATAATAAAAACATGTATTATGCCACATAAATAAATCTAAGGTGCTGTAATGGCACTTGTATCTTCACGAGTAGTATCTTAGCAGAGTCAGATGGACCAAGTTCTAACTCTAGTTCTGCC